AATGGTGAGCTAGGAGTGCTGAACAGCCCCGTTCACTGGCCTCACTTCCTCTCTGGGGCAGTCTGCTAGAATCACTTTGACATTCTCCATTAGCACTTATAGATTATCTTTTAAATCATCTCCCATGTGGCTTTCCAGAGCCTTTGGTATTCTGTGGCAGCAATTGATTTTCCAGTCTCAGGGAAGGGTTCACAAGGAAACAAAAAGCATGCAGAAAGGTGATGGCTTTCCATTGAATATCACAACAGCTTTCTCAAGGGGCTTCCAGGGCCTCAAATGTCAGGTTTGCTCCTGAATTCACCATGTTTCTCTTGGCCTGTCAACGGTGAGGGCCTGAACCCTTCCACCCCACTGCTGGCAAACAGATACATCTGGCACAAAAGGTGAGGCTGCAACCCAAAGCTTCCCAAGGCAAGGAAACACCATCTTCAGGTAGGGCTGCTGCGTTTCCTTGAGCACTAAAGAAAGGCCCGAGTTCAAGGCATTTTGGCTCAGTGTCCAAATCCACAGCCAGAGGGTTTGGGTGTGGAAACTTCCCTCCCTCCTTATCAAAGGTCAGGCTGCTGATCTCTCATCTCTCTCCCGAGCAGAACCAACTGACACAATTTCTCTGTTCCTTATTTTTTTAATAAATATTTATTTTAAGCCACCCCTGAACGAGGCAAAACCACAAAAAGCGAAGTTGAAGCTTGGCTGTGGGGCCGGGGGGACCTCGGGGGACCCCTGCTGCCACTGGAGCCAGCCTGGGGGAGCGGCAGGGGCCTTTCTCAGCACCCAGGGACAGAAAATGGGTTTCAGATGAGCTCTGCGCAGCAGCACGGAGCCGGCGGCTGCAGCGCAAGGCTCGGCCAGCCCCACCACCCTGCCAAGCATCCCTCCCACCTTGGCATCGCTCCCTGCCCGGCACAGGGCTCCCTGCAGCACCCAGGCCAAAGGCCACCCAGCTCCCACAAGCACCAGCCTCCACCTCCACGGTCCAAGCTGGACCCCCGGTTGGATCTAATCAAGAGAGCAGAAGAGCTGCATTACGCCTGCTCCAGACCCAGCACCACCACCTCCTCCCCAACAGCCAGGTATCGATGGCTTTACTACATTCTGCTTTTTTCCCCCTCCCACCCTTGACTAGGGGGCTAATGAGCAAGACCACCGTGGGCAAGCCCTCCAATCGAAGCACCACCACTTGCTTGCAAGGCAGCAGCCCCCGCACCCTCCCTGGCAGCGCTCCGCACCACGGCCACGCAGCACCCTGCCAAGCCACCGGCTTTCCCCGCGGGCTGCCGGAAGGTCCAGCTTACATAAGAAGGAACAAACTAGCTTTTCTTCACCATCCTTTCAATGCTGCAATTCATCCCCTGCCCTCCATCCTCCCAGTGCCACCTTGAGGGATGCCAGAGACAGCCAAAATGCTTCATCTCAGACATTAATCCGAGGCAAATTTTTGTTGTCCGTGGGTAACGGGTCTACAATTTTGTCCCCTTAAACCACAAGTGAATTAAAGGGTTAGGGCAAAAACTACTCAGACGCAAAGGTATCCATGTGTTAAGGACACACCATACCCCAGCAAAGCCATGTCACTGCTCAGAAAGCAAAGAGCTCTTTGGCCTGACAGGCCTTCCCTGGAGGACACAGGGGCTGCAGGGCCAGGTCACACACGTCCCCCTGTAGCAGCAAATCCAGCAGCAAGCAGTAAGGGACCGAATCTGCTCATGGTTGTGTAAAGACCTTGGCTCTGACACTGAGCAAGCACCAAAGCTGGTCTCACTTCTACCCGGCTGGAAACATCTTGGTTAAACTCCAAGTTATTTTTGCAACTGTGCATTGGTTCTGCCTGGTTAGAGACTCTGTGTTGACCTTGGCCAAGTGGCAAACCCCAGGGAAAAGCAGGCCAGGAGGGGAACAGGACATAACTTTGCAGGCTGAGCAAGAAATGACAAAGCCAGGTTTATTCAGACACAAACAGGCCGCTTCAAAGCATTTTTCCACCCCTTATAAAAATCACTACTAGCATCATAACCATCTACACTCCAGGATTTTTAGCCCTCTTCTGCCTTCAGGCTAGCACGGCTGCATACCGCCTGCCCTTTCCAATCATTCTGCCATTATTTGTCAAATACCAAATTCCAGCTCCTCTAGGAAACCGGGGGGTAGGAAGCACAGCTAGTTGAATTCTTTGTCCTTCTCTCCCCTTTTACATCATCAGAACAAGAGCAAAAATCCCACAAAAAATGCACATTCCCAAAGCCAGAGGCTACATCCCAGTTCTGGCAACCCAGTGGTCTTACCACAAAGCTCAGCACAGCCTGGATCCCCTTTGACTTCTTAACAATACATTCACAGTGGTGGAAGGGTGGGGAAGGAGGGCTTCAAAAGAAAAGAGCAGCAAGAGACAAACTGTTTTGAACCCAGAAGCCATGCACTGCAACATGAACCCTCTCCATCTGAGCTTTGCTGCTCCTCCTGGCAAGCGCTTTGAAGCGTGGCAATGGGAAACCAGGAGAGAGCCAACAGCACCCAGCACGCTGCCTGGGCAGGGGCCCACAGATATTACAGTGTCTTAAATGTCAGCGAAGGCTGGACCTGATGGGATGGAAGAGGCAAAGTAAAGAAGCCATCAGCAGCCTTATGCCTTCCACCCCTTCTCCCCAGGGCAGCTCCTAGGGCTGCGGGCAGCCTGCAGGCAGCTCCCTGAGCCCTGCCCATGGGCTGGTTTGGATCTGGGCATGCTGCAGGGAGCTATTAGCACACCACGCTGGAATCTACCCCCTTTATCTAGCTTTGCATGGGGAGAAAGAAGTCAGGGCATTCAAAGAGTCCCCTCTCTAACCAACATCTGCAAGAGAAGGGAGGGCTTTGCCTCCCATGGCTGTCAATCCCAAGGCAGCCTGAAGGAGAGGATACACTCCCACATCACAGGGAGCAGCTGCTGCACAGGATTTGCAGCCATTTGGCACCTTCTCTGCCAACTGCACAACCAGAACCTTGCTGCTAGAAGTGACGGTAACACTTTGCAACCCATTCCTCCTCTGCCCCGAGTGACCGGGAGCCGGTGACCCTGAAAAGATGCTCCTGGGCTCTTGCCTGGGACAAGCCATGGCCATGAATCACAGGACAGCCACAGCCGAGGAGGCAGCAGCTGGTTTGCAGGGTGAGCTTGTGTCATGGCCTGCACTGACCAAGCACTGGTCAGAGAGGCAGGAAGAGACAGGACAAGATCAAGAAGGGCAGGGGAAGCAGCTGGAAGGAAGTTTGCACGGCATCTGCATTACGGCCCCAGCCGCCCACGTCTACACATACTAAACAACAATTAAACTTCAATTAAAAGAGAAAAAAATAAACACTTTGTGAAGACAAGAGATGAAAACATCCACACTGTCTCTTTGAAGAGCGAGATGAACCCACCCTGAAGAAATGTAAATGTAGCAGGAACCAAGGGACTCCTGGGATTTCTCATTACAGGAGACGAGGTTCTCAACATCTTTCTGTTTTGCAACAATTAGCCATTAACTGGAAAAAAAAAAACTGACTAGATCAACAACTTTCTATTATTAGTTTTAAATAATGAGTCAGAAACAGGCACTTCCTTTTTCCCCAAGCTGCGAAGAGCGAAGCACCAAGACCTTAATCATGGCCTCAGGCTCATTTGAACTGCAAATAGCTCTGCAGAAATTACAGGAGAGTGGTGTGAATACAATGAGAAACAAACCCTATATTTCAAGCATAACTAGTAGCAATTGCCTTTCATCTATAGGTTAAAAAGCTTGATATGGAGTATTTGCTGGGAAAAGCACGAAATAACAAGATGTGTCTGTACAGAGGTTGGGGAAACAAGGAGAGAGGGGAAAAGTCACATCTGCTGGTGGCCTCAGAGAGAAACTGAGGAAAAGGCTGATAAAAAGAAGCCTGCACAAACCACAAGGCTGCCTCCCAAGGCCCAACCCCGGACCTTAATCACTGATACCATCCACAGCCCAGGGAAATAATTAAGCATTCAAGCTATAAACAAGTTGCCTGCCCAATCTGCTAAGTAGACAATTTCTGCAGAGCAATTCAGAGAGAAAAAGAGAAGCAGATTCAGCTGATGAGACACAAAAAGTCTCTCTAAAAGCATTAATTTCCTTTGGGAAGCAGCCCACAGGCTCCTAGCACAGTGTGCAACCATCACTCCTGCAGCAGGTCCCAGCAAGGCAGATGATTAAATCTGCATCAGTCACTCGGTGTAAGCGGAAAGGCAGCAGCTGAGGATGCAGCCTCGCGGGCAGCAGCTGCCACTCTGAAAGCAAATGAACTTCGAGTCCACCTCAGTGCCTGCTCATTGAAAGAAACCTTTCAGACCTTCCTCTTCCAGCATCTTCATCCCTGCCACACCCCCTTGAAGTGTGCACAGGAATAAGGACAGAGCAGAGTTCTCAGGACCTGTGCTGTGAGCAGGGTGCCACCTCCCCACCCCGTAACCGGCTGCGACACGGTGACCTGGGTTTCTGCATAAGCTACTGCAGTGAGAAGCCTGGGTGCCAACTTCTGGGCAGCATGGCCACCCAGGAGCACACTGTCCATCCAGGCTGGCCACAACACCCAAGGACTTTAGGCACCACGCTGGAACAGGATGTGCCATGGCAGATGCTCCACAGCAGCCAGGTATGCGGCGGCTGGGGAACCTCAGCTTTTTGGAAAGTTGAGTCCCACCACCACTTCACCAAGACACAAAGCAGTACAGAGGGACTGTGCTGGTAACCTGCACATCCTGAAACACCCCATGGGGCTGGGTGTCACTGCATAGCCCTCCTGTGACCACACTGCCACGCTCCCCAGCTGTGAGCCCTGCTGCCATCCCTCCAGGGCTGGCTGGCACTTGGGCACTGACCCATCCCATCTGCCATGAGACCACCTCGGAGTGACCCCCGGCAGACACCACGGAACCCCAGCTCCCAAAGGGACAGGAGCGCTCTGCAAACCTCCAAAACAGCAGCCAAGACAACACAGAAGCAGGTGTGTAATTTCTTGGATTTCTTTTACTTTTTTTTTTAAATTCCTTCCCTTCCTTTGACATGACACACACTTTGTATTAAATATCTTAAATATATTAATTTTTAAAAAGTATTAATAAAAAGCTACTGAAGGACACAGTTGGCAGAGTGATCAAGGGCAGCGACCCATTGCAAAACATTGGGACATTTTAAAAAACAGAAAACAAACAATAACAAAAATGGCATTTTTTGCATGTGCACAGCTGGCTGGAATACCCTGGACTCTGGCATTATTGCCAAAATGGAAGGGGAAGCAGTAGAAAAAATATATCCCATTTTACCAACCTGTATGGGGAAGGGAGTTAGCAAAAATGAGGAGGCTTTAAACATTTTTTGGTATTTCAGATGTTCCTTCCCACACCCACCACCCAATCACTTTTAGTCTTTGAGCAAGTTTTCTGGCTTGGGGTAACCAAAGAGTACAAAATCTGCTTCGTAAAGCTTGTAGAGCTGCTGCCTCCAAGCCAGCGGGATTTTGGCAAACCAGTCATCTTCCCAGCTGCTGACAGTCCTGTTCCGGTAGCTGGGGGGGAAGCGGAGCAGCCTGTCCACTTTGAGGAGCTGCAACAGGTAAGCAGCGTCCTCGTCCAGCGTCTCCAGCTTCCCGATGAAGTCGTAGTCTATCTGGCACGGATGGCACAGGCGGTAGATCTGCCTCCAGTGCTCATTGAAGGGCACGACCTTCTCTGTCCTGGGATCCAGCAAGTACTGGATGAAGTTCGAAAAGGAGACCTTGAGGCCCATCTTGAAGGCCTCCCTCACGGACGAGGGAATGTCGGTGTGGTTGGAGTACATTTTCAGCATGGGGATGGCAAAACGCTGGTAGAACTCCTCATTCTCCAGGGCAAACTTGCTGCGAAAGGCAGAGATGAGGCGGACGAAAGGGTCTCGAACGAAGAGGAACTTGGTGTACTTCTTCAGCTTGATCTTCATGAGGTGCCGGGAGAACTTCCCGTAGCGGCGCCAGAACTTGTTGAAGGTCAAGTGGACGCTGGTGTTGTGGACGTGCCCCCGGGGGATATCCAGAGGGTTCCGGTACGGGACCCCGTGGTCCAGCAGGCTCTCGCTCAGCACAATCATCACCCGTTTCCAGTTGGTGCAGGCCACCTTGGGGACATAGCAGTAGATGATGCCGTGGCGGTCATCCACGATCAGGTGGTTGAGCTCGTAGTTCGGGATGTCATCAAAGGAGCGCTCCTTGGTGGGGAAGGAGAGGCTGGAGTTGGCACAGAACTCCCGCAGCATTCTCTGCCTCTCTATCTGCAGCTTCTCTTGGTCCAAGCTGTTCCTGTCGCTGTGCGTAGACCAGTCATAGCCCCGCACGTGCTCCTCCAAATTCCTCACCCCAGGCTTGCTGGAGCCTGGGGCGAGTAGCTGCTCTGTCTTTCGGGGGATAGAGCTATTCTGTTTCAGGTTTGAACTAAGCAGCTTTGCCAAAAATTCATCCACATCTGGCAGGGCTTCCCAGCCTTCACCTGCCGTCATACCAGGGATGGCATCTGGGGATTGAGGCCTGGAGATGGATGTATGCAAGTAGAAGTGAGCAGTGCCCACGTTGTCCCAGTACACGATGATCAGGAGGATCATGAAGATGGAGACCAGCACCACAGAGAGACGGAAGAGCCGTGCTTTGGTCATCCTGACTCCTCCTGTGACAGCTGGCTTCCACCTGGACTCACCTCCGGCCTGCAGGGTGGGGCTTGGGATCCAGCATGGTGCCGCACACCAGGAGCCTGGAAAGGTACCAGAAAGAAAGTTAGTTGAATCCTTAATCACTCTGGTTTGGAGAATGAGCTTGCACAATCAAGACAAGATTGGTATGGAGCTGACCATCTATTTCTGCACGTGCAAGTCTGAGGTACCCACAGAGAGCCTGTGGAGGAGAGGTTACTGGCCAAAAGGCACAATGTGTTGCAACTTTACCTGTCTCCTTAGCAATCATGGGGGTTTTATCTACCTCAGGCTTCTTGAGTATGTGATTTCAAGAGCAGCTGTGTTTTCATTGAAAATAATAAATAAAATATAGAGATTTCAGGCCTAGAGTTTACAGAGAGAAGTTTGAAAGTGTCAAAATAAAAATACAACCATACACAGAAAGTATGTAGATCCAACTACCTTTCAGAGCTCCTTGATTTTTAACCATCATCTTACATACAACAGGAAGAACGAGGGCTCAAACCATGGGTTTAGCTGGTAGTATCACACCGTGGCCAAAGCTGCCCCTGAAGATGCCTTGCACCACTGTGCTGAGAGCAAAGACCTTACTGCAGTTCTAAACAGAGCTGAAGCTGCTGCTGCCTCAGCTGCTAAAAGCAGGTCCCTGTTGAGAGAACACCACTGACCTGAGCACAAAATCTTATCTGTGTGAAGGCACCCAGCAGACCTCACCTCCATCACAATTCTTGGTACCCACTTCAGTTTGTCAAGACTGAGATTACACAAACTGTTTTCCTACAAAACCCCCCCAAAGGGACATGGCCCCAGTCAGAGTCATGCATCAGTAAAAATCTAAAGGAATGATTACTTTTAAGGAATGATTTTGGAGATTACAGATACCCTGGTAAATGTTTGTCCCTGTCCAGACTCTTTCTGTGGTTTAACGTAATTTCTATTTCTAATCACACTCATCCCTAAGAACTCTTGATCACCAAGCACAGGACAGAAATCACTGTTAAAAGGGCAGCTCAGATCTTTTCTGGAAGGTGCAGCAGGTGTAGTTTTCTTCCAACAGGTCCCATCTCTGCAGTGCTACCTGCTCCTCTGATGACTCCCAGCCACTCCAGGAGATCCACCTCCCCAGTGCTACAGGTTCTCTCGTCCAAAGCTCCGTGCCAAGGCAGGCTGGCAAACCAGCCTTGCTCTCTCCCCAAGTGATCAAGGGCCTGAAGCCAGGGAAGAACACCACAGCAAAGTGAGGAGCAGTTCCCTAATACTTTGAGAGAGAAACCAAGGTTTGTTGTTTCCTAGTCTCTCTCTGCAAGGTTTAACATCAAAAGACAAGCAGAAAATAGTCACTCCAGTCTCCTCCTCCTCTCCAAGCACAGTCCAGCCACAATCATAAACACAGAACAGCACCTAAAGATAGCAGACAAGAGCTGCCCTTAACGACTTCAGAACAAACCCTGCAAACACCAGCTCTGAAAACAAAGCCACTGCAGGGTGAGCTGCCCTGGAAAGCTTTTCAAAAGGAAGCTCTCTGGATCTCTCTTCCTCCAGAAACACATAAGTTGTTCCCTAGCCAGTTCACACACCACCCTCGAATGGCATCAATCCCACCCTGCACAAGGGTGCAGAGAACCCCAGAGTCCAAACACCCCGAAATGCTGAGCTCTGTCACTCCTGTGAAATGTGCTCAGCACCTCTGAAGCTCACAGCAGCCTGGCATTGAACAACTTCTCTAAAGAGCCATCTTCCTGGCTTCACTTATGCCTCAGGGATGCCAGGTTTTAACAAAGTCCTGGTTTCAGAAGCATTAGACCGGAACTCAGTAACAAACAGGAAGGATACTAGATACAGTTACATATCAAAGTGTTAGCTCAGCTTGTCCCAAAAGACATAAGCCACAGAACTAAAGGTTTAGCAGTTTTTCCACCCTGATGTATTTATTTACACTTTGGAGGTAGGGAGAGCCAGAAACTCAGCATAGCCACAGTCCAACACATGGCTTTGTACTGCAACACCGAACGCTGCGCTCGCTGGAGCCCAGCTCTTGTTCCGCACGTGAAGAGGAGCTGGAGGAACTGCAGACATAACACCTTGCACTCTGCAGAGCAAGAAGCAGGTATTACTCAGCAGTAATTCTCTCCGTTTAGCTACTCAAGACTGAGGACGCAGACCTAAGAAAAAACACCCAGAGATAAAGAATGGGCAAATTACATGTGTGTCAGCACTTCAGGGCACATGTCTCAGCCCAACAGCAGAAGATAATGGAGTGACACTGCCAAACCTACTGCTTGGCACACTTCTGGCTTTGCATTTTGCCTCAGTCTGTTCTTGCTCTCAAGCCGGTTGGCTGCTCAGGGCAGGGACTGCTTCCTATTCTGGATGAATAGGGTGCCCACTGTGCACATAATCCCTAGCACACTGGGTTTCCAGCGCTGCTGGAATGCAGCAAGCCTAGAAATCTGCAGGGAGCATCCCTTCCTGCCATCCCTACACCCAGTAGCTTCCCCAGCTCTGGGGGCAGCAGCCAGTTAGCATTTCTGCAAAGCTGTCCCACCTCGCAGACAGCTCACCCTCTGGGCAGCAGAGGCGAAGGAGACGCCGTGTGTGGCACACGCAGCCCTGGGGCAAACGGAAGGAGGACTCTTTGTCACAGCCACCACCACAGCGTGGCTTTACCAAGTGCCCCCCAAGGGCTCAAGCCTGCTTTCCAGGACACAGCACGCAGCCCTGCCAGAGCCTTTGGCTTCTCCAAGTCACACAGCAGCCAGGAACACAGAATCGAAATGACTCCACTTCTGTTAACTCTATCAGTGTCAGAGAGGAACCCTGGAAAAAAGCAAAAAACGCAGCTTAATTCCCCCTAAACGAGAAAACTGCTGCAGAAAACAGAGTTACTCTATTGACTGTGATACATCCTCTTCCCGAGCACTTCATAAAAGGCGCCGGGCTGAAAGCACAAATTAGAGGTCACTGTGCACATCAGAGGGAACGCGCCTCCATCCTCCCCTTGCCAGAATCAAAAGGAAAAGCCTCCAAGAGAAGCCAAGAATTTACATTCAAGTTTAACCCAAAGTCACCAGCCAGAGAGAACGAGCACCAGGACCCACACAAAGCTGCTTCTGTGACAGGACGCCGGCAAACCGGGAAAGGGACCAAGTGCTGTGACCATCGCACAGAGCCCCGAGAGCAGCCTTCCGTGACCACCCCCAACCTGAGCCTGCCCTGGGTCTGAACCAAGGGCTCTCCTCCCCACCTCAGCCCTGAGGCCACCGGTCCTATCCTCTCCTATCACATGCTGCCATGCCAAATAACCACCTCTCCAACTCTCACTCTGAAACCAGAAAGGGGGGGGAGATGTGTGCCCAGCACTCCTATTGCAAAACCTATTGCAGATGCAACTCCTCAGGGATTTGGAAACCTTACTTGTACTTCATAGCCCCCTTGTAACTGTTTGTTCTGAGGGCAAACAGCAGCCTAAGTAATTCCTGTCTTTCTTCCTCTCTTCGGAAAAGAGTGTAACTCCAGCTCACTTACAGGAGCAGTGAGGCCTACAGAAAATAAAGGAGCTTACACTCAGCTATGTCCCCGAGACAGGGGACAATAACCTCCATCCATGAACAGAGATGGTTTTGAAGGGACTGTGCCTCCAAAGGCTTGGGTGCAGACTCCATCTCTTCTTGCTTTGTGTTGCCCCAGGCTCATCCCTCTCCCGCTGCTCCTAATTCCCCACAGGGAAGCGAAAGGCACAGACCAGGCACCAAGCACCAGCTCACCTCCTCCAGTGCCTACTTGTTCTAACATGAGAAGACACAGGATTTCAGGCAGCTTGCTTGGGCTTTGCCAGCTTCTGAAGATAGAAAGAGGTGGAATAAGGACTTTAAAAAACATTTTAAAAGTCTAAATTCAAATGGATACTTACCTTTGGGGTAACTGCATTCAGTAACAATCGCTGGACCCACAGACCCTCCTCTACCCATATATCATGGTGTGCACCTGCTACCAGTTACGCCTGGGGAACGAGCAGGCTCTAGAGAAGTGGAACCAATTCAACCTCCTGCAGGTGCAGCAGGATGAGCTCCCATTAGCCAAAACAGATGGATGCTGTACCAACAACCCGAAACAACTGGCTCTTCCTGCTCTTGTCCATCACTCAGGAAATTGCTTCTCCCCAGCCTTCCAAAATATCTAGTACCTTTTGCAGGGCAGTGAAGTTTTAACCTGTGTAATGACATCAGCAGTGACCTCAGTATAAATGCACAGCGCACACAAAAAACAGAGCTTGCACTGCATATTTTGCCCCAATTTAGCACATATATGCCAGAGACTAGCAAGAGCGTCCTAACCTGGCAGCTACCCCAGCACCTTCCCTCCCATTGCTGCTACAAAGCCTGGTTTGTACAGGCTTGGCAGCACCAGTCGCCTCTTTTTTAACACCCATACTTGGAAGCTGTCTCAATAACCACACTTCTAAGGTTTCCAGAAGGAAACTCCCAAAACGCATGATGTCCTGTCCGTTCATTACCTTTGTTGCAAACTTCAAGCACGCCCATCCTTCCCAGCTTCACAAACGCTGGAAGAGCCTCAGCCAGCCTCGATGCCTACAACCCGGGCCAACGAAACCCCACCGTGTTTGTCGCACACCAACACCGGGGCCAGAAACCAGCCCCGGCC